ATTCCTTCTATGCAGTCTAGCTCTTTCTCTACACCTCTTCAAACAGTACGTGTAGTGAATAAATACTTTGAAGCTAGTGTAGATATACACTCTTACGGTGGGGCACGTACTGCAGTATTGCGGGAGTCTGATTTAAACATTGAGCAACTCCAATCCTTTGGAATTGTTATTCTCATTACAACAGCAGCAGCAGCAGTAGAAAAAACTGTAGAAAAAGAAGAAAAAACAAGAACAATTCAAGAACGACTTCTTGAGGCACTTGAAAAGTGTTGTGCTGCAGACAACATAGCCCATGAGGTATCTTCTTCATTATCTCTCATTGCGTATGATGAACATCAGGGAAAAGATATTACCCGTGAACTCTCTGCGGCGGCAGAAAAAGCCCCTGTGTATATGTGGTATATTGTAGACGGCAATGCATCTAGGGATGATCTCACAACACAAGTGGATACATTACTACTACGAGCAGCAACCTCTACAAGTGATGAGACTGATATAGAGAAGAAAAAGACGAAACAAGATAGTCTGGAGGTATTACAAGATAAAGAGGATAATGATAATGATAATAATAATAATGATAAAAGTAACACCAGTACTAGTAGTAGTAATAATAGCAGTATGGATGATACTTTTTTTACGGCACCTTTTGAGGTTCTCTACGGTGTAGATGAGGAGGAGGATGCTGTTCAACACTTACGAGAGTCTATAGAGCAGCATGTATGGCCATACCGAAGTATGTTAAAAGAAACTCCCACAGAGACAACATCTCCTCTACTAAAGAAGAAGGAAGAAAATAAGGAAGAAAAAGAAAAAGAAGTTGTAGTTGTAGAGGAGGAGAAGGAGGATCTTGTGTATATTGGATGTGATCTTCCACCATATTATCTTGTAGATCCACTTACATGTAAGTCTGAATATGTTGCAGCACTTGCAATCAAAATAGAAACAAAACCTGAGATGGTTAATAATAATAATAATAATAATAATAATAATAATAATAATAATAATAATAATAATCAGCTAAACGAGAAGGAACAACAACAAAAACAACAACATGAGGATCTTATGGTATGGATGGATAAGATGAAACACTACGGTCATAAACTTCATCGCTCAGTGAGACAACGTCAGGCAGAAATACTCGCCAATAAATTAGGGGAATGTCTTGGGGCATTGGATGGATTGTAAATTATCTGTGAGAAGTGATTATTCAAGAAGACACACTAAACAAGAGGAGATAGAAAAGAGTGAATGACTCATTCTTGATATTGTATTGTTGTTGTTATTCTTCTTTTTTGTTGATTTTCCACACACACACACACATATTATATTTATATATTTATTTGTTTTGCTTTTTTGCTTTATTCTTGTGGTATACATAAAGGTAAAGATCCTCGTCGTATACAGTTTACTGAAGTGGTATAATATATATATATATTTCTTATGGAATCTATTCTTTTTTTTTTCTTTTTTAAAGATTTTTCTTTCTTTCACTTCCTTCCTTATCATTTTATTATTATTATTATCTTTGTATACAAGTGAACGTGGGGTATTCTTATTTATATATATATATATATTACTATTTTAAGAATGCTACGAGGATTATTGGTGCGTCGACGTATGGGACGAAAGGTGCGGAAATCCACTCCGCTTCTTTGGTTGTTGTGTATTTCACTGCTGGTGGTAGTATTCTTATACTATGGCTACTCCTATTACTTCACAGCAGATGGGACCACAAATAGATCTGTGAAATCTGAAGAACAACAATTAGAAGAAGAAGATGATAATACAGAAGGTGAGATGCCGTGTTTTGCATCCCACACAACAAATACTACAACCAATAGAACTCATGATATCACTACATTATTAGCGTTACGTCATATTCGTAAAAATGTACGTAAGACTTGGCAACAGTATAAATATCTCGTCGTGTTGGGCATTCCATCGATGGATGCCCCTCCGCAGCGGCGACGGCGTGCCCTTCAACGGGCCTCTTGGCTGCGGTATCGTGAGGTCGCCACCCGCGCGAATGGATTTAAGGCGCCGCTGCTCGTTCTCTTCGCCCTCGCCCGCCCCCCGCCGCTGGTCTCGTTGACGCCACTCACCCCGCAGTCGGCGCTGGCGCGGGGCCGTCGGGTGTATTCAATGGCCGCCCACGCCGAGGCCGCCAGTCGGCAGGATGTCCTCCTCTTCCCGCAGTGCGATGCCGCGGCGAAAACAAGAAAACACAGCGGCGGCGGCGGTCATTGGGGACTCGCCGCGGAAGTTGGGACGAGTGCGAAGAGTTTTATGTGGTATCGACTCGCCCTGCGATTGGCTCCCAATGCGGCATATATTGCCAAAGCAGATGATGATATCTTTCTGCGCGTCCCACAATATTTAGCAGATCTCAATACATTACCCCGAGATGGGCTTTACTGGGGTCGTATCATGCCATGGTGGCCACGTAAAGGGAATAAACAACAAGTCTTTTACTTTGCTGGTGGGATGTGTATTACCATGTCAAGAGATGTTGTTCAACATGTTATTGAATATACTCCACTACAACGTATATTATCTACACCTGTAGATGAAGAAAGTTTAGGGGAAGGAAAAACTAAAAATGCCACACTTATAGCGTATTTTAAATCTTTAAATGCAGATCATGAAGATATTATGATCGGACGAGTTCTCTATGAGACAAAACATCCAGGAATTATATTTGTACCTGAAAAAAAATGTCGTTTCCATGATGTGCATGTGGGAGCAAATAAAGCCCCCATCACTGCTCAATCCGTTGTAGTTCATCACCTGCGTGAGAACGAGTATGCAGAGCTTTTAAGACGATTTCCTGAGGAAGGAAATGATAGTGAAAATAAAGTAAAACCAGTATTGTTTACACGTATCCCAGGTCCAATGGGAGTAGTAGGCGAGGCTCAATATGTGTACTCTTGCAGATAGAGTGAGAGGAACCACTACAACAACTACAACAACTACAACAACAACAACGAAAATATTTTAATGGATGTGATTAACCAGAAAAAGAAACGTCTACGTATATTGTCCGTAGTTTATTGTGTACTATATAAACAACCAGTACCAATATATATATATATATATTTTTCTTCGCTCTATTCCTTGTCTTTCTAGCATTCTTGTCATTTATTCATATGTATGTCTTAACCAATTTACTAATGGAAGGTTTTTTTTTCTTTTTACATTTCTGATTCATTTATTGTTTTCTTTTTTTTTTCTATTTTTGCGACATTTTCTTTTTGCCACATCACATTACAAAGAAAAGTACTCAGATTAGGATACACACTCAAACCTACCACTATATACATAGAGAGAAAGAAAAACGTATATGGGGTTTCGTGGGCGTGGCGAACGTAGACCTTATAGAGGCAGAACTACTTCTGCTACTTCATCATCTCCTTCTACTGCTACATCCAGCAATGGCGACATTCCCATTAATCTCTCTTTTGGTAACTTTGAGTTTGAGGACATGAAGCGACTTGGCCGTCGTGGTGGTGGTGTACGTGAGATAGCCACACTTCTCCGTCATGCCCAGCGGCAGTCGGCGGCCCACTCCAACATGTTGCGCAGTGTGGAGGGATTGGAACAGCGAAATGCCGAACTGCTCGATACCGCCATGCGACGGGCGGCAGGTGTGAAGGTGAAGGATGATCCCAAACGTCTGGCAAAGGCACTCGCAAAGCGACGTAATAAAAAGCGAAGTTCTGCAAAGAAATGGGCGGAAAGAATGCAAAAGTTACAAAAGTCGGTGGATAATGTAGTAGAGGACCGTTCAGTGGCGCGACAGACGGCTAAAGCTCAACGAGAAATGAAAAAAAATAAGAAGAAGGAGAAACAGACGCCACAAAAATCGGTAGATAAACGTTCAGGTGGTGGTGGTGGTGGTATGGCTACGAAGAAGGCCAAAAAGAGTAATGATAAGAAAGGGAAAGGTCGTGGTGGAAAAGACAAAGGTAAGGGAAAGACAAAGAAATTTGGTGGGAAAAAGTAAATCACACCAAAAGGAGAAGAATTAAGAAGAAGAAGCAGGAAGAAACTAAAAAAACAAAAAATAAAGAGAGTCAAATGATGGGTTGACAAGTGGATTCTAGCGCTCTTTAGTGAGAGCGATAACGTTTCTATGGTGAATACGAACAGAGAGGTGTAACTGTATTCAGTGTGTGACATGTACCTATGCCCACAAGGATTCTCTGAAGTGTGTGATTACCTCTATATATATATATATATATTGGTATTTTGAATGTCAATGTCCACGTTGTATGTACTAACATGGAGTTGGTGGCTTTTCTCACGTATTTGTGTGTCTGTGTCTGTGTTACAAGTAACACCTGGAAGTATTACAAGAACATCGATTAAATTACTAACTCAGAAAACAAAGCTGTCTCATAATAAGCTTGTGAGGATACGACGCATATTTTTTTAAAAAAAAAATAAGGTATGTCGTTGTGATGCTGTTGATGATGATGATGGGAGTTATAATTTCTTTCTTTTTTATTGTTGGGGTTGTGATTTCTCTCTTTCTCTCTCTCTCTCTCTCCCTCTCGGTTTATTGATTTCACACTTGTTTTTTTTTTTGTTTTCTAATCCTTTCTTTCTGTATAGGCAGTTCAGGTGTATATTTTTTTTCTTCTTGCATTAGTTTGAAGACGGTACGAAGAACGCAATCGAAAGCAATATAAAAAAAGAAAGGAAAAAAGAAAAGAAAAAGAAAAAACAGAAAAAAGAGAGGTGAAAACGTATAAAGAGTAGTTTTTTAAAAACAAAAAAGAAAAAAAGAAAGAGAAGAAACGCAAAAAAAAAAAAAAATGTTACGTCGTTTCCACATTTCTGCTGTTTCCCGCACAGTTCCCACATTACCTGTGGCCTCTGCCCTTGCGGCCGGCCGTTGTTTCCTGCATTTACAGTCCCCATCGCCTGTGTGTACGGCGCCGCCGTTATCATCTCCACGTAGTTCCTCTGCTATCATGAGAACGACCAGCGCCACTTCCGCCCTTCACTTGTCCAAGCGCCATCTCAGCCTCTGTTCAACCCGATATATGCGAGGTGTGGGTTCCATTCGCCCGCAGAACTCCCCGATGAACTTTGGCGGCTCCAGCAGTTCTGGCAACAGCACGGCGGAGAGTCTCACACCTTATGTCCGGCAGCATCTCTCTCGCGTGTACGGCCTCCTTGCGGCTGGCTGCGGGGTGGCGGGTGTTGGCTCGCTGCTGATGTTTGCCACGCCGCTTGGGCAGTCGATGCCTTTTTGGCTGCCGATGGTGGGCGGGTTTGTGCCGCTGCTGTGGCTCTCCTTCGCCCCGCCCGCCAACCCGTCGCTGCGGCTCGGCCTCTACTTCGCCTTCACGCTGCTGGAGGGCATGGCCCTCGCCCCGCTGGTCGCCATCACACTCGCAAAGGGAGTGCTCGGCACCGCCCTCGTACTCACAGGCGCCGTCTTTTGCGGATTCAGCGCAGCGGCATTACTCGCCCCACGGGCCTCCTTACTCGCATTGCAGGGGCCATTGTTTGGAATGCTTATTGGGATGGTCGCTATTTCGGTACTGAATATCTTTTACCCAACCGCATTCGCACACTCCCTTATTCTCTATGGAGGTCTAGCCCTCTTCTCGCTCTTCGTGTCGGTAGACACGCAGGCGATGATTGAACGTGCTAGGTGTGGCGCCGGTGATCACGTGCAGGACGCACTGCAGATGTTCCTCAACGTGGTGAATATCTTTGTACGCATCGCCCAGATTTTGGGATCCATGGAGCGTTAAGAAAAGAAAAAAAAAGAAAAAAAAAAACACAGCGCGCGCCCATAATATATATGTATATATATTATATATATAATATATATAATGTATCTCTATCTGTGTGCGAGAGAGTGTGAGAGAGTGGATGCTTCGGTGAAGTGCGGGAATATAAAGAAGAAACTATACATCTCAGTGATGATCATCTGAATTTGTTATCCATGGACTCTTTTAGCTAGACGTTCATGGTTTGTATTCTACTGTACCATTTTTCCTCTCGCTTCACACAAACAAACATGCATAAGGGAATATGTGGCACGGCCCGAAAAGCGAAAAAAAAAACAAATTGTGACGAAGAAGGGTTCCAATTAGAGAAGAGCCAATCAAATCAAAAAAAAAGAGAAAACTGATGGAGAAGGTAGATTGAAATTAAAAGAAAAGAAAAGAAAAGAAAAAAAAATTTAAAGAGGAAATAAAGAAAGAAAAGATAGAAAAAAAAAGAAAAAAATTAAAGCAAATAAAAAAGCAGCGGCTTTTGGTATTCTGTACCCAAGGAGTAGAAGGATGGCATCATTATTCTTCTTTTTGTTTCTGTTTGTTTGGTATTTTTCTTGTTCGAGACGCTTTTTTTTTTCTTTGTGCTTCCTTCTTGTTTCTTCTTTGACCGTTGTTTTTGTTTGTTGTTCTTCTGGGAACAGAAAAACCATTTACGTTTGATGAGAACTTTTCTCTCTTCTTTTTTTGTTTTCAGGATTTGCCGTGTATTGTTTTTTCTGCTGCTATTATTATGATTTTAATTTTCTTTAAAGAAGAAAAATAAGGACAACGCGAGCACAACATATATGCAGGTAGTACTAAAACTGCAAAACTCCAAACAATGAAGGGAGAACTATCTATGTGCATACATATAATATTTATATATATATATGTATGATCATTGTATTTTTTTCTTCTTCTTCTTCTTTTTCTTCTTTCTTACCATTTCCAATCTTGACTTGTTTTTCTTTTTTCTTCCACACAAAGGATTCCTTCACGTGTAACAAACAAAAAAAAAAGAACCTAATTCACTTTCTTTTATTTGTTTTATTTTTTTTTCTTTCTTCATCTCTACATCTATATTTACCTATTTTTCTCTCTTTCTTTCTTTTTTTCTTTTTTTTGTTTGTATCGATGCTGGATGCCTGTAGTACACGAAGAGAAGAGGAGAAGAGAAGAAAAGCCCTGTATGTTATGAGCAGCCGCAGCAGTAGTGGTGATGACGATAATGATAGACGTTGGGATGTGGAGGAATCCCGCCGACCTCGACGGGCCAATCGCGGCAATTTACTGCAGGAACTTCTCGAAAAAGGTCTAAACTCCGATGAGGAACACTTATTAAATGATCTCAGCGATGCCACCACCGACAGTACCTTCAGTGCCAGTGGTGAAGAGGCGATGGATGAAATCGACAGCGACTTCTCCGATGAAGAAGTAGAAGGAGTCTTGGACGGTGAAGAAGTGGAAACAGAGGCAATGCTCCAACAACGCGAACGACAGGAGCGGAAAAAAGAACGTCAACAGGCATTACGCCGCATGGGAGGCACACAACGCGGAGGAACGGCAAATACCGCCAAACCCCCCACTTTGCGATTACGACCGCCGCCCACTATTCCACTGGAGGAACGACTGCGGGCGGCACACAAACGGGCCCGTGAAGTTCGGGCCGCCGCCGCCTCCGCAGTGACGGGAGAACGAGAAGAAATGAACTTAACAACCGGTGGCGGGGCCGCACAATATAATGTGGGAGCCACCATGACGAGACGAAGACGACCACACCGTACACGAGGGGGAACAGGAATAACAACAATAACAACAACAACAACAACAGGAATGAATGGAGAAGAAGATGGGGGGGAAGTGAAGCAGCGTGTGATGTACACAAGCAGCAGGAGTGTACTGGAGCAGTTTGGGGTACCAGTCGTGATATCTTTCTCCAAGTGTTTACCACGGTTATTTCAAACGAAATGATATGAACTATATACGATTCGATGTTTGTTTATTATTATTTTTGTTATTGTTGTGATGGTTTTGAAGAAGTGATGGAAGAGAAAAAGAAAATGATGGGTCGTAACCTTTTTTTTCTTCTTCTTCTTCTTTATTATTCATTTTTTTTGTTGTTTCTACACTTGGTAATCCTGTATTTCTTCTCTTTTTTTTTCTTTATTTTGGGTTCTCTTACAATAATAGTAAGAGACTGACTGTATTTATTCCGTTTAAATAATAATAATAATAAAAAGAAAAATAATAATAGAATAGCCATCATGACAAGTCTACCAAGTGAAGAGGAAAGAGAATGTTTCCATCAAATAGTCTGTACACTTCCCAACATATTATCCACTCTATGGCAGCAAAAGCAAAAACAAAAACAAAAGGAAGAAGAAGAACAAGAAGGGAAATTACGTATAGTGAGATTAATAGCTCAGCTTCATCGTATGTTAGATATTGCCGCTCAGCTTCTCACGTCTCCAGTCACGAATCGTATTGAATTTGAACGGGTTTTACTTCTCTTGGATGAGAAGACTAATATATTTTTTGATCTCTTGCGGCGTATTCTTTTAATGAACTCTCATGAAAGAGAAGGTAATAATAATCATTATCATGGGATATTATTATCTATACCAGATATACAGTTTGAATGCTTACAACTTCTTTTACGTTTATTTTCCGATGCATTTCACAGTACGAGTAGAAGTGTGGAGTTTATACAATATTTAAAAACTGCAACTCAATCTTTACATCTTGTGGAATTACTAATGAAATACATCCCAAAGTTTCCAAAAGAGAAAAAAGAAGAAAAAGAAAAAGAAGAAGAGGCCTTGACGCCTAATGAATGTACAGCTGTTGAACTACTTACATTATTAGTAGAACATCAGTATGTGACTCACGAACTTTTATTAGGAAACTATATCGTTAAACTTACAGGACTCTGTTGTTTACATCATTCACAAGTACAGAGATGTGGAGTATACATCTTGGAATATATATTAGTTCAACAACAACAACAAGAGGAAGAAGAAGAAGAAGAAGAGATATTAAAGAGAAAATTATTATTAAACTTGACAGAAGGATATTCAGAGATGAAGATAATTAGGTGGATGAGTGAAGAGGCGTGGTTAAACCTCATTACGGCACTCACATCACCTAATTTATCTCTTCATCAAATACATATACTCACTTCATTAATGTTATTGTCTCTACCTATGATGTTAAGTCAATATAAAGAAGATATACATGCCTCTATTACACTTCTTATCCGTTCACTGTTGAAAATTATCATTCACACATATTCTTTATCGTTACTACATTCATTCTTTCCATCTACGTGGATTGCCACTGCTGGGAAAGAGGAGAGACTACCTTCTCTGGTCTTCTCAGATCAGCATAAATTATCTCCATTATTTCTCCTGCGGCAGTTATTGTCTTGTAAGACTGAACTCATTCATTCTATTTCTATGAAACCCATTTTAGAAATTTTACTTTATTCTGATAGAGAAGTAGAGGGATATTTATTGTTTGTGATGATTCAACTCTGGATGCACTGTGGTCGTGGGACGGAATTGTTATTTGTTCTTAGTATGGAAAATAGTCTGCGGGCACGATTATATCATTTAATAGAAAGTTCACAAAATACCGGTATAATAGCAGTAGTGCCTCTTCTCTTATGTATAGGAAGAAACTCTGCGTGTGTGGCCTCACGTGAATTGCGTGAACTTCTCTCATCATCATCCTCATCATCATCATCATGTGAACAGTACCCACTGGGTTTTTATTATCTGCAATGTTTGCTTGATATCCTCTCCGTATGTGATGTGGGAGATAATGGGAATAATAATAATAATAATAATAATAATAATAATAATAATAATAATAATAAATTACCGTTTATACGATTGCACATGTATGATCTAGATGGATCTTTAGTGAATGATGTGTTATTTGTGGATTTATTATACCCAACAGCATGGGAGGAGTTATTAGTATTGCAGGAGGCTTCTATGGCACTTTTACAGCCATTAGAGAAACGTCCTAAAACATCACGTTTATTAGAATTACGTAATTCTCTTGGTATTGCACGGTATAATTACTTTAATCATAATAATAATAATAATTACTCTTCTATCTCTTCTTATGCTTGTGGAGATCATATTAGGAATGATTGTAGTGAAGATGGTATAGACCAATGGAGACGACATCAAGTGTTAACAGCTGCTCTCTGTTGTGTACTCTTTATGCCTTATTGTCCCACTACTGATGAGTAGTAATATGGATGCGGAATAGGGTGGGGGGTGGGAATCTTTCGGTAAAGACAGTAAAAGTAAAACAAAAAAAAAAATAAGCGTTAAGGGGAATTTCAAGTATTTTTTTTTTTTTTGTATCCTTGTGTATTTGCTTATTTTCTGGTTGTTATATATATGTTTCTTTCTTTTTTATTATTTTTTTTTATTTTATTGCATCTTCCTTCACATAGTACTTCTGTATATTTTTTTCTCTTTACTCTTATTATACTTGTCTATCACTGCTACCCCTTATCTCTCTATCTATCTCTATCAATATTATTTCTTCCTCTCTCCCTCTATCTTTATTTATATATATATAATAGAGTGTATTCACACGCACATACACGCACAGTTGTATATATTTATATAAATATAAATATTGACGTTTACTAATGATGAACGCCGATCTTGCAGTTGTGACGGACCAGCAGCAGCGCAGTGTGCAGGATGCCCTCGGCGCCCACAAGGTTCACATTCGTGTGCAGCAGCGTAAAGGCAAGAAGTTCGTCACATCTGTGCAGGGACTCAATCAGGCATTAAATTTCCGCCGCATCAATCGTGAGTTCCAGCGGCGTTGGGGTTGCAATGGGACTGTGATTGAGACCCCAGAGGCGGGAATTGTCATTCAGCTGCAGGGAAATTGGAGTGAGGAGATTCGACAGTTCCTGCTGGCGGAGAATATGGCCACTGAGCAGAATTTAGAGATCCACTCACTGAGTTAAACTGTTTTTTTTTTTTTTTCTTTCTTTCTCTTTTTCTTTGTTCTTTCTTTCTTTTTTTTCTGTGAGTGGAAAGAGAGAGAGAGAGAGAGAGAAAGAGAGAGAGAGGTGTGTGTGGATGTGTGGTTGGTTGGTTGGTCGCTCGATGTTTATGGGATGAAAGGAGAAAAAAAGAAGGTAATAATGAGAAGGTGGTGGGTAAACCGTAAAGAATAGGAAGAGTGTAATACTGTTTTTTTTTTTCTTCTTTGTTCTTTCTTCTTTTTTTTCTTCTTCTTTTTCCTTCTTCCTTCTCTTATTTATTTATTTCCCTTTTTTTTTGCTTTTCTTTTGTTTTTTTTCTCTTCTTTTGTCGTCTTCTACATTTTGTTTGTATGATGATAGTCCATTCTTCTTTTCTTTTTCTTCTTGTTGTTATTATGACTTGTTGAAAGCCCATGGAGAGTTAAAATCGTGAGATATTAACAACAACCGTAATAATAAGAGAGAGAGAGGAGAATGGGGAGGAACAAAGTAAAAATAATAATAATAATAATAATTAATAAAATAATGGTAGAGCTGAGAAGAAAAAGGGAAAAAATAAAAAAAGAAGAAGATTGAATGCGTAGATGAATGGAGTGGAAATAGGTGTGGGGAATATTATTATCTATTCGTGTATGTACTTTTGTGTAAAGATAAAAGATAAATAATACGGAGGAAGAAAGGAAGAAAAAAGAAAGAAAGAAACAATTGAATGGCTTTCACACCATTTTTACACATTTATATATATATTTATATAAATATGTTGTTATTATCTATTAATTGATTATGCTGGAGAGAATCGAGAAGAATCTAAGTGAAAAGAAAAAAGAGAGAGAAAAAAAAAAGAATGAAAAAAAAAAATTATATACACTGTTCTTGTATAGCTGTGTAAATAACTTCAAACTAACACAGAGATGCAAAAAAAAAAAAAAAAAAAAACTGTGTAGAAACGTTAAAAAGAGAGAGAGTATTTTTATATATTTCTTTCCTTATATATATATATATTCCCTATGATGGTAGAGAATACTATTCTACATGGAATTGATAAATGATATTATATATATTCATATCAACTATAATTTCCTTCTGTTCTTCTTCTTTTCTTATTTGTGTGTTTAGTTCAAGTTTTTTTCTGGACTCTTGACAGGACATTCTTGCTGGTCACATCTAGCAGTGGACAGGCGTTTCTGCCCCACAGTGCACAGGACACACAGACAGAAGAAAAGAAAAGAGAAGAAAAAAGAGAAGAGAAGAGAAACGTCCATATATATATATAGATATATATATTGACTCAACACAACATTCCGCTTCATCTGCGTATATTAGGTAAGTACTTCTACTGCCGGTATTATTATTGTTGTGATTAATATTATTCTCTTTCTCTCTCTCTCTCTTTTTCTATCATCTTTTTTTTTTCAGTTCCTTTTGACGGATATATATATATAAAGGATAAACGTCAACGTGACTGTGTATTTGTGTGTGGTACTTCTGGACTCACTTATTCATCAGTAATAAGAAGCCGCAGCAAATCATTAACAGCAACTTGGATTGTTTGACTGTGTTTATTTTTCAGCAACAATCCTTGTAATCTGTCCCCTATTGTGTCAGCCACCCATTATATAAACAATACCATATATATATATATATATATATATATATATATAGTCTATCAAAGAGAGGAGGTACACAGAAGAGACCAGTGCCTGTATCTAGCTCCTAATTTCTTGCAAAAAGAGCATTACAACCACAACAAGAAAAGAAATTAAATAGAAGGAAAGAAGAAAAAAAAAAGGAAGGGGCAGCTGAGCCAAAAAAAAAAAAACTTAAGAACAAAACAAAAAACAAAAACAGAAAAACAAAATTAAAAAAAAAAGAGAGAACAAAAAAGGGGAAAGAACCACCAGAAGGATAAAAAAAAAAAAAAGAGACAAAGAAACAAATTATATAACTAAAAGGGGGAAATAAAACACACACACACGCGATTTCAGGGTGTGCGTTTTTTTTTTTTTTTTTTTTTTTTTTTTGCTTCTTTTCATATAATCTTTTCTTTTTACTCTTTTGCACTTACTGTTGTGTTATTCTTGTCGTTGTTGGCTTGGGCTTAACAATTCCATCGTAACGAGTGCGTCTATTCATTGAGGAGTACTGCGACGTATCGGAACACAGAGAGAACAGAAGAACAGAAAAAAGTCTTAAAAGAAGAAAGAAAAAAGCAATATATATATATATATATATATATTAAAAAAGAAAAAAAAAACCCTCCCAATAAGAAAAAAAAAAAGAATATATATTTATTTATATTATTAAAAACAAAACAAAAAAAAAACAAATACAAAAAAAAAAAAAATAAATAAACTCCCTCTAATTGTATGCCAAACGAACCCATGTCGTTCCTACCAGAGTTCATTCCATTGGCAAAACAAAAGGAGATGTTTGCCGTCTCTTCCTGGCGGGAATCCCCGCAGGTGACCCCCGCCGCTGCGGCCACGGCGGCCGCCCTCCCAACACTCCCCAGTCCAGCCACACTGCCGGCCGCGCAGTGCGAGAGGGACAACAACAACCCGCCGGGGAAGTCCCACCGCTCCCGCCGGGGACGCGGACGGGCAAAGACGAGCGCCGCCCAGCGACAGCAGGATGCGGATGATTACTTCGTCAACTGCGTCCTGCCGCCGGGGGTGAGCTTCGCGACCCTCAAGTCGGAGTTACTTCTTCTCTCCACCACTCCACTCCGCGCGTATGATATTGGCTCCCCGCACACACTCTTCCCACGACGCAACGGCGGGAGTGCCGGCGCCGCTGCGGAGACCGGCAACGCCGACAACGGCAGTGTGGCGGCCGCGAACACATCCACCGCCACTCCACCACCACCACAGCAACAACAACAACAGCAACAAACCACAACTTCCAACGCCACTTCTACGGCAGAAACGCCAACAGGCGCCAGTGCGGCACAGGGGCGAAAAAAGTTAAAACCAAATACCGTGGAACCCTCACCATTTCGCACGCCTATGGTGTCTGCGGGTATGACGGCGGGTGATGATTATGAGTCGCCTGGTGCCTCACTGCCGGATTTATCTCTCCCACCGTCTGTTCCATCTGAGATTCTTCTAAAAGGTCATCTCATCTCCATCTTATTTGCAGAAAGCAATGAGGCGGAGAAGGTGGCAGAGATGTTATTAAAGAAGTGGCCTCAGGCAACAGTAGCTATTGTGTCTCGTAATCGCTCTGTACTCAATACCTCACTCGTGTTAAAAGGATTACCAAGTCTTGCAAAGACAGAACGTATTATTGAGGAACTTGAAAAAGTAATTCCACAGAAACCATCCTATATTCGTCTCCACCGTGGAGAACGTGGAGTGTTTAAGAATGTTGTCTTTGTGAAGTATCATAATCGTGAGATTGCAGAGGAGAGTAAACTGCGCCTAGAACGATTCATCATTGGATCACGTCCACTGAAAGTAGAATTTAAAAAGAAAGAAAAAGCATCTACAGAGCGAGAACGTATTGCAATACTGCAGCAATTGGTAAGGAATCTTCGTGTAAGTACGGAACATGAGGGATTTATATACCAACTTGTGGATATTTCTAAGGATGAACTAAAGGCGTTAAAGCAACTCTGTCACTCCTATGATCTCTCCTTTGAACTCGGTGAGCATAGTGTGACTGTTCGACGTATTTTGCCTGGCAGTGGACGTCCATCACCCGCACTGCGACCTGGTGCTGCTCAGCAATCGTCCTTAAGTACTGTGAACTTTACACAGCCAACTCCCGCTTCACTGCGGCCTATGGGATTTAAGGGCATCAGTCACTGGCGGGAGATTCGCAATAATGCCGTGCGACTGGGAATTGCACGGCCAAAGGGACCTGGTGATGTCCCGCCGTTCGCACCAGGCCGTGGTCGTCCACTGTAAAAAGGAAAGGCAGGCAGTACCTACACAAAAAAACAGATATATATATATATATATATATAGGAGTGTGTATGTATGAGGAAGAAAAAGAAAGAAGAGAAAAGGAAAAAGATGTGGAAAAGAATAGGAGATTGAGAAAGAAAAAGAAAGAGAAGAAGGGGGAAAGGATGAATGAGTGAGTGTTGCAGAGAGAGAGAAAGAGAGAGAAAGATTAAATGTGAAAACAGAAAACGCAAAAAGGTAATTAGGAAACAGGAATGCATTTTTAAATAAGAAGGAGGAAGAGGAAGTGCTTTTTTTTTTTTCTTTTGTCGATGTATCTCATGACTCACTTTTGGGTGCTTCCTTGATTTAAAAAAAAAAAATTTTTTTTTTATGTTTCCCCCTCTGTGCGTTCTCTTATGTTTTCTTGTGTTTATATATATATTTATGGCTTTTTTGTGAAACTCTGCTGATGCGCAATTAGAAGGAAGACCAGATCATGGGATGAACACAGAGTTGCAATTTACTACACTGATGAGACTATCATCATCCACAGTGGTGGGTGAACCACCCAATAGTAGATAGAAGAGGAAGAAGAAGGAAGAAACAGCAGCAGCGAAGAGGAGAATACTAGGCTGAAGGGCAAAATGAAAAAAGGAAAAAATTTAAAATAAAAGACGATACTTGTGAGAAAGGGAAGTCACTTTTTTTTTTATAATTATTATTTTCCTTATAAGGTGGTTTTTCTTTTATTCTCTCTAAAGAAATAGTATTCGTGTTTTTTTTTTTGTTTTTTGTTTTTCCATCGTTCTCTTTTTCTTTCTTACTTATTATTGTGATTATCACTATTTTATGTTGATATGGAAGAACATTTAAGGAGGCGGTAGAGAAAGGATAGGAAGACCTGAATTCTCTTTTTCTTTTTTTTTCATTTCGCTCCCTCATTTTTTTTTTATTTTTCTTTTTTTTTCTTCTCTCTTCTTTTCTCTCTGCTTCTCTGTATATACATATATGTATGAGTGTTACCACCTACATACATATATATATATACGCTGAGTATACACCCATACAACCAGGCCTTTTTTTTTCGTTTTGTTTTTTTTTCTTTCACATTGTGTTCCTTGTTAGCCGTTTACTGGATCACTTTACCCTTTTTTTTTATCTCTTTTTTTTTTTTTTTTTTTACACGCCCTCTTTTTTTTTCTTTGTGTTTTTCTTTTTTTTTAACTGTCGCACGGTGGTACTTAGCCGAATAGCTGATTTTCTTTTCTTTTATATATTTATATTTATCTCCTCGACAGAACTCAACTTTTCATCTTCTGATGCCCCCAAAGAAACTATAGTTATCTCCAATGGTCTCTCTCTCTCTCTCTCTCTGTGTGTGTGTGTGTAAGGGAGAAAGAAAGAAGGAAAGATAATAAAGGGTGTGTAATGTAGTCGTCTTTTGTTTGTTTGTTTTTCTTTTTTCTTTCTTTCTTTCTTTCTTTCTTTCTTGGTTTTTTATTATTATTATTATTGTTATTGTTATTATTGTGCTTGGATCAGGAATGAGAGATGAAAGGAAGAAGGAATGAAGGGAATTTTAGAAAGAGAGAAAGAGAAAGAAAGAGGAGAGAGGAGAGAGAGAGAGATATATAATGAAAGAAAGAGAGAAAATAGATGGAGAGATATGGAGAAGAGACTGTGATGAGTATACTAATTATCTTGTCAATAATCTCCTTGTACTAATACTGCGAATAATAGCGTTTCTCCTTCGTCTCTGTCAGCTGTTTTCCTTATATTTATTTATATTTATATAACCAAAATACACATACACACTGAGGTATTAAACAGAGAGAAAAAAAAGGAAGTCGTCTATTTCTCTTCTTCTTCTTCACACATACACACACACACACGCACAGAGGGAGAGAAATATATATATACTTTCTATTTGATTACAGTGTATGTGAGGAATGTCTTAACAGGGTTCATGAGAGTTTCCTGTTGCTAAAGTATTTGTACGCCCCACCAGCACTTTCTTTAATGAGTTTCACTAAACAGTGGGCCAGCAGTGATATTTGGTGCCTTTACAAATGTGTAAA